ATAGTCTTTTCTGTATGAAGAGATTCTACAGTTCCTAAGTTGACCTTGCTTAGTTTGCCTTAAGTAGACTGGACAAGTACTGTGAGCACAGAAATATAAACCCCTGTGACATTTCAGTGAAAGAGGTAAAGAAGAGATAACATATATGTCACATGGGTTAATTATTTATTTCCTAGTATTTGTCAGCTATTTCATACAATAGAGCTGTCTCTATTGTGAGAGCTGGTGGCAGCAGGAACAACTGCAACAAGTGTATCTCAAATCCAGTATGTCCCTAAAGATGGAACTGGGATCTGTGGAGTATTTGATCTGGAGAATGGGAGATGCATCTTAACTTCACAAGAATTAATTATGCCTGCTTAAAGCCAGAATATGACATCATCAAAATCAAAAGAAGGTCCTCTTTGTAGCTCATACCTGAAATTCCGTAATATTTTTTTAGTAAAGCTCACAAATCCAGGCCTTGCTTTGATAGAGGATTCATGAGGAAAAGCCAAAGGCATTGTTCTGCTTCTCTCTAAATAGGCCAGGGTTCCTGTACTGAAAGCTCTGCAGTGATGAGAGTTAACACAGAGCCAGGCAGGAGGTGCCCCCCCTTTGTTGCTGCTTTCATTTTTAAAATGAATCATAATTTCTGCATTGGATACGAAGATGGGTTTACAGCTATTAGTGATCATATTAATAATTTAGAAAATACATGCCCAATCACTTGTGTTCTTTCAATTCCCTATGAACACAGCTGCAACCCACATTAGAAGCGAGGGTGAACGGATATGTTTCAGATGAGATATTTGGGCTGAATTATTAGGGTAGCCTGTACTACAAAATTACTAATAAACATTGCTTCTGGCTCAATTTAGCCTGAACTCAGTGAACCTAGCCAATGGTGACAAATCAAAAACTCTGAAATACCCGGTGAATGAATCTAACTAATCAAGGAACCCTGTAGGAAGTATATGCCAGGATTAATGAGCCAGTAGTTTCACCATGCCATGCTGTTATTTCTTCACATAAATGCCCTCAGATGAGATTATCTTTTTGTCATGAAAGGGAGAAAAGCAAGGTTACATTCTTTCTACTGACAGGTTAACTACTGCCATTACTACAATACACATCTTTGTGGGCTAAATTTTTTCTTGATCCCAAAAATTAAAATGTAAAGTCTGTACTACAATTAAAAACACATTTTCATTTTCAGGGAACAAGTCATTAAGGGCATGAAACATAAACTGCCCCAAAGTCAAAATTTCATCCGTATTTCCTCAGGATACCTATATTCACCTCTACCTTAATTTACCCAAACGGCTCTGTAGCCTACTTCGTATTCAATATCTAACATCATCTTTACCAGGTTGCATCCTATATCATATTTCTTCCACCACTAACAAAAGTTAAGTATGACATCATTCCTATACTATATACATATATTTAGAATCAATGTTGACAATAAAATAAAGATACAAGGATGAATGTATGCATTAAATCAATCATACACTTGACCTTTTTTGGTTAGCATGTGGTGACAGTATTCAGTCCCAAATAGGCCACTCACCAAAATGTACAATTCATCATTTTATACTTGCCTACTTTATGTTCTGATATTATGCAGCATTATTTATCCTTTATTAAATTTACATATAATTTTAACAGTTTTGAGTGAGAATTGCTGTTCATAGTGACCAAAACATAACATGAAATATTATTTTGTGGTTAGATTTTTTTCTTTGCTTCTTTTCTTGCTAAACTGTCAACCTTAACAATTTAGGCCTGTGCTCGCTTTGGCAGCACATACACTAAAAAACAATTTAGGCCTTCCTTTGTCCTAATAGCATATATAACCTTTAAAAGCTCAGGGTTCTTAACATAAAAGTCTATTGCCATAGAAACAAATATTATTCCACAGTCAGGTCAAGTGAAAAACTGTATACTTTCATTTTAATATTGATAAATAACCACTATATTATGAAATATAAGTATCTTTCAAAGTATCTATCAGTTTAGTTGATTTGCAACTTCTCATGAGTGTTCTGAGTTGGCCCATTTTTTTCAAATGAAAGATCTTATTTTCCTTGCCTTTGAGAAATACAATTTTTAAAGATTCCATTTAGCATCCTTTATTGCATTCCTACATCATAAAGTTATGCTTTATAGCAGCATAAAAAAGCTGTAAAATTAGCATCCTTGTAAACAATCTTCCATGCTCACTGGTGGAGCAATCTCTGATTTAACTGATCTCTTAAATGTGACTTGAGATTGCGATATCCACGATTTCAAATGTAAAAAAGAAAAACCAGAGCACTAATGTAAGACAAGAGAAAATATGATGAAATGTAAAAACAAGGAAAAGTAATATTCATCTAATGATATTGTAGAAATCTTAAAGTTGTGCTGCTAAATTCTAGAGTGCATTCTAAAATATAGAAATATTCCATTTTATATGAAATCCCGAATCAGCGTGTTTTTTGTCTTCCTTAATGTTATACGAAAACAATACTTTAGAAAATGTAGAAATGAAATATTCATTAAGCTCACCAATTTAGCTCCAAATCTCCTAAGGTAACATGAACACATGGTTTTATCACAGAAAATCATGCCTTTTTGTCCTCACTCTGAGATTTCATTGTGCATAATTGGGCAATGATTATAATACCTGTAGTTCCTAAAATTCACATGTAGCCCAGTGGTACAAAACCGTATTCTAAAACAAGGGTAGTTTTAGGGTTATACACTGTGGCAACCAAATATTGGAACTCTTCCTATTGGAAAATGGGTGCCCTCTCAATGACTATGACCACTAAATTTCAAACCATGAGACTGATTTTGGTTAGTTTTTCAGTGCAAGTCAGTGATATCGATGTGCCTCCCTGCTTAACAGACGCCTGCAACCCTCCCTCTGGGTCTGCCGAAGGAACAGCGATTTTTACCGCTGCCGGAGGAAAGGCCCTGAGCACGTGGCCGGCGTCGAGGTTAGCGCTCCCCACGCCCGGCCTCGCGAGAACCAGCCGAGCAGCTGCGGGCGGCCTGACAGGGCACCTGAAGCCCTTCGGGGTCTGAGAACGCAAAGGGGTGCGGCCCTCTTTGGGAAGGCCTGGGCAAGGCGTAGGACCTGCGGGAGAAAAGAGCCAGGGCCTCCGGCGTCCACAGCGTACCTGGAACCCGTGGCGGCTCCGGGAGGCCGCGGAGGGCTGTGCAGGGTTTTGCAGGCATAAGGGTCAACCGCAGTCCCTTCCCGCTCACAGCTTCCGCCGCCCGCGGGGAGGCGCCCTCAGCAGCGCGGTCCGAGGGAAACCTTTCACCCTCCGGCCCTGAGTTCCGCGCCAGAGCTGCGCCCCGAGCCTCAGTCGGGCTTTGGTGCCCGGGCTGGTCCCGAAGCCTTTCGAGGCGCTGGGCTCGTGGGGTGCTCCTGGCCTGGCCTCCTCACTTCCGGCCTGCAGGTCTCAGAACTCAGGCCTCCCTTTGTAGGCCCAACGCTGCACCCCAACATGCGGTCTCGCCGTGGAGGCCTCATGACGCAGCCCAGAATCTGAACCCAAGTGTAAAGGGAAGGGCCAGGGGCGCAAGCGTCCCTAACACCGCATCTGCCGATGGAGCGAGAATAGGGGCCCAAGACTGGCCCTCGCCCCCGCCCCACCATTCAGTGTCACACCGGCACCCATCATTCTCCATATCACATACTGAAAATGATTTTATTTTATCCATTTACATTTAACTTGATATAAACTTATCCGGAAAAGTCAAATAATATGCTTTATAATAGCTCAAACATTTATTAAGAAAACCAAATTCCATAAATAAGCACAGACAATAAGTTAAAACATATCACAAATTGACCAGTATGTAACAAGAATGCTTTATCTACACAAAACATCCTATTTCACATGTTTGTTCATTCTTAGAAAGCGCTTCTGTTCTCTGGGTTGGGTTTGACCAGCACATGCAGAAAGAGCTGATTGTGTTTCTCTGTACAAAGTTGGAGGGTTGCAGGTGTCCGCGTGCGCCCGTGGGCAGCCGGCAGGTGGCCGCGGGGCGCGAGGACGACAGGACGACCACAAAGTAACCAACGGCACAGAGCAGCGAGAAGAGAAACGGAAAAGGAAGCAAACAAACCCCAGTCCTGAAGGATCCAGAAAAGAGATGTGGCTTCTGCTTTTACAAAAGGAGATTTGCTTACATGTTAATTTTATTCCTCCTTAGAAAGACTTATCAAAATGGGTAAGATCACTCTGCTTCGTCGCATAACTGCATTAGTCTACTCCAACCACCCGGAGCTCTGGCCTGTTCCTCCTGAGAAACCTCCCCTTCTGCACCCTCACACAGTTGTGCTTCAAATAAAAATTGGACCAAAGAAAGCGGTGTTTTGCAAGCCAATAGAGGGCTGCCTGGATGTGCCTGGAGCCGGGCGAGGGCAGGGTGGCGGGAAAGAAAGGAGCCCGAGCAAGAGTACAGGATGGGTCAAATCCTATCAGTAGGGCCCTCGGATGAGGCTGTCGGTAGCAGGTGCTTGTCCTCCTTTCTGACAAAGTCCCTAACCTTGTGCTGTCCCGTGAACACGTCCGTGTGTGACCGAGGTGCACTGTGGATGCGTGTGCGCGCGCGTGTGTCGTGTCTGAGCGTGAGCGAGAGTGCGAGTGTGTGTTTGTGCCCACGAGCCAGTTCATTGGTGTCTGATTTCAGATCCTGAGTCGACTCCCTGGTAAGTAGAATGGCGGGAAGGATGCTTTCTGCCGGGCGCGGGCGG